TTCTTTCTCAAATTTCTTTAAACGTAAGCCATTACCTTTCCTGGTCTTTCTTCCCCCTTGTTGGGTACATACTTAGCTTATATTTGCTCTCACGCATGCCGGAATTTTCGTGCAACTCATATGATCTTCGAATATTACTTTTGATTTTACTTCCCGTTCACTAGCCACGGTAGGTTACTCTTTCTTATGGAGGATGTACAATGTTGTTGTGAAACTGTTGTTACAAGACCATTTCCTCTTTAGGTCACTGTGCTTAGGTTGAACCTTCTTTCTCATTTCCTCAACTAGTCTTTCATTGTAGTACTTAGGGAGGACCCTCTGACTCTTGTAAAGCTGCGAGCTTATTACATCGTATACCCAATAAAATTGTTGATGTCCTTCCTCACCTACAATTATCCGTAATTACTTACCTCCTCACCTTTGTGCTTGTAGGGTTGCTTCTAAACTGATATTTGACTGTCTTCCCAGTGGCACATTCTTTTATCTCGGTAACACTCATACGATACCTTTAACTACCCCGATTCCGATTTGAATATATCTCAAGTATTATAATGACATGACAATGAGGCTGAATTCTCTATGTTGGGTTTTACTACATTTATCTTGCACGATCTATTGACTCGTATTTAACCTTCTGTTTAGCAGTAACTAGGCTCTTCCTGAACCAATTACTAATTACTCATTAGCCCATTCTTATATCAATGTTTCTTGTAATCATTCTTGGGTTATTTTCTTTATCTTAACTTACGTCTCGCACTGGCTCTTTATCTATCAATAACATCTCGGGCAGGGACGCTTCCTCCCTTTCCTTGATGTTGTGTTTGCATAATATTCTAGAATCGTAGCATATCTATAGGATTTGAATAAGTGCAATCTCATTTTTATCGCATTCTTCTTTTACCATTACATAATTTCTAGAATCACTTAATTATTACTTAATGCCACGTCACATCATATTCCCCCATTTAGGGGAGTACTGAGATTTATAGCTACGACAACCTACATATAGATATTTTACCTCTTCATCTTCAGCATCCTTTCATACCATCGATGACCCTTACTCACCTTTTGGTAATCCTTCTATACCGAGGATAACAAAATTCCTTACTTGCGATGGTGACACTTAGTGTAGCTAAAGCATACAATCCCTTGAGCTTAACTTTGCTCATCTTACTTGCTTTAGAAAAGCGTCTTCCTGAATGACCATTCTCTGAATTTTTCCTGAATCTTATTCTGTTGTCCATTCTACTATCGCCGGAATGAAATATGAAATTCTCATTATGCCGACTATTATCAAATCACTCAGTCCCTAATTCATGTTTAGTTTATCTTGTTCACTAGTCCATACCGATTTCTATCCTAGGGTCTAACTTTTCCTTCTGGTAGTTGCATTGGAGTCACAAACTTATTTTTCAAAGTGAGGATATGACTTTATGGCCTATATTCTTTTGTTGTCTCAAGGCCTGTCACCTCTTGTTTTTCCCTTCACTTGACTATAGACTTTGTAATACTATCATTTTTTTGATCTACTATTGTCATCCATGTACCACATTTTACTCATACTGCTTCATTAACTCTCTTCTTATTTTCCTGCTAACATTTCTGTCTATTACTTTATTCTAAAAACTCTAACAAAACATTCTTTTGCTTTTAGCCCCTCTTACTCCATCCGTTGGTTCCTCAAATTGCCTAACATTCTCTTTCTACCAGGGATGGGAGCCATACTAAGGTAATATTTATCCCTTTAAGGCTTCCAGTGCCCATCTTTGTAGTACTCATATCTAGCTGTACTATTTTAGAGTGCACTATCTGGGTGTCTCACAAGGAAATCTATTAGCATATTTACAATATCCTTCAGAAATGTCAACTAACGCAAACAATCCATCCACCATTTGGGTTACTCTAACCCCAGCCAGATCCTGGTATCCCGTCCTTCTCTTAAACCATATCTGCTAGCTCCTATATTGCATAATCGATATATGTGTGGACGATTGTGCATACACCTGTTATTGTTGAAGGTAACTCAAAAATGCTTATACTTCTCTGCTTGAATTGTAGATAATGTTCATCTCTACTAACTAAGTACTTCGTACCCCTCTTCACCTTGCTTCTTTTACTTGTTGAAACTTGTGCCCTCTGATTCTTTCATTGCTTTTACTCTAGTGGATAGGCATTCTTGCCTTAGAGATCCTTATCAAGAAGCTTGCACATCTTAGTATACACATGATCTGCTGAATACCTAACCTTTATCCATCATAAGCATGATGCAAAAATCGAGTTCCTCTGACTCAACTCTTCCACAACTATATCTCTTACTAATCATCTTTCTGGATGTAATCATTATCATATTATGAATAAGATAGAGTTTAGGAAATTGAGTTCTTACAATTGAACTCTACCACATGATCTAGAATAAGCAGAAAGAGTGATCGCCCTAAATTCCCTATAGCCTCCAGCTTATAAGTGCGGTGTACGGCACACCCATAAATAAGACTCTACTAGACACGACTTGTAGACTCCCTAGGACCAAACTACTCTGATACCACTTTTATCACGACCCAAACCGATGGTCTACGACGGGCACCCAGTACCTTACTCAACAGAGTACCTACGTAGCGTATCTTTCGTATCATACTACCATAGGTATATGAGCCAGAGAGACTATCGTGAGATAAGTACAATAAATAATGGAGAAATACTTGACATTGGATGATCCAACATGTAATCCAAACTTATACATATGACGTACGAGACTATACGACAAAAATAACCACTCGTATACTGAACATAGGCCGACAAGGCCATACAATATTTTATGTATATGACATCTGTCTAAAAGACTCTAAGAATACATAATCTTCACAAAGGTCGGGACAGAGTTCCACCATACCAAACAATACACGTCTAAATCATACTAACCAAACAAGCAACGCCAAAGCAAATAGAGCGCACCAACATCTTCCTCTAAGCTGATTGCCTACTTGGAGGGATCTCGACCTGTCTATCGGGACCTGCGGGCATGAAACGCAGCGTCCCTAAGCAAAAGGGACGTTAGTACGAATAATGTACCGAGTATGTAAGGCACGTAAATAAGTACATAACAGAAATAAAAGAAATATAGAGTAAATGACTCAACCTGTATGTCTGGATAATTCTGTAAATCATGAAATAATTATAGTGTCATGAATATGCATATGAATGTCATATTGTGCATAGGTACATGTGTTCATAACATCATCAAGCCTCTGAGGGCATTCCATCATATCATTTCAGCCACTGTGGGCAATATCATCATCATATACCAGCTAATCAGGTGGTGATGCGTATATAACGACGCAACCTTTTCCCCATATATCATATACATAGATATATACATATGTACGTGTATATAATATCGTATGAGTGATGGGTAAATGCACATGTATAAATGAATGCAATGCATTAGAAGTACGTCAATAAAAATTTCTCAGAACGTCATAAGACCATTATGCCTCTGATTAATATCATGAAATGAACTTTACCAACTTACTTATTTTAATGCCCATGAACATATTATAGAATAATATGACACATGGCAGAATAGGAATATACACATCTCTAGCATTTCTACGAACAGAGTGATTTATGAAAGTTGTGCATTTTCTCGTTTCATTCATGTCGTATAGATCATGTCAAAAGAAAGGAGGGATAACCTTAACATACCTGAGTCGATTCTCTTGAGAAAGATTACACCGTACTCCCTTAAAATTGCAAAATCTCAGGTTAATTTAAATTGTTGAAGGTCCTGGGGCGTTGCTCACATGAATTTCGGTTGTAACATACAACATTTACGTTGAATCCTCATCAGATGCCTTTGGAAATAGTTGTGATTCACATTTCTTATCCAACCATATCTCTTAAGTTAGAGATATGTTTTGTCCATAGTTTTATGAAAGTTAGAGATATGTTTTATCCATCCACCACATAATCCAAATGATTTAGATCTTGCCACCTTACTCTACCATGAGTTAAGAGTCACAAGGTTTGGTGGATGCCACGTAATTCCCTTGTTGGGGGTTAAATCCTTATGTAGTAATCTTTAATTAACTAGGTAATATCCCATTACACAATAATTAACCAATTACCCACATAATTAAAAATTATCTCAACTTACTTAAAATACTACTCACTTTTAATATACTTTATACACCTTACTACCATGACCATATGGTACATTGTATGTTACTAATTCATAAATATCAGGTATTTTAGCTCATACCGTATTTTATCCCAAAATGTCAAACTTTGGCGAAATTCATTTTTTTTATTTGCTTACCCTTTCACCTTCATGAATTTACTTATTCCTTGTTTGAAATAGAATAATACTTATAATTCCAAAATAATCTCATTATCGTGCTTACGTTGATTAACTTATGACGAAACATCAATGTACAAAAATGCGGGACGCAATATATCACTTCCGAGCTCTTATTAATTAATTTATTTATGGCGTATTTTCATGTACGAAAATAGGGAGTCTAATAATAAACTTAGTCGATTTTATCGAATCTTATTCAGCTCACTCTCTGTCTTGATTCTAATTCAACTATTTCCACCCATACTCACCCCGATAAAACTTCACATGTCTAAAATATAACATTACTACTCATTTAACATGTCCACATCTAAGCCGAATTTATGGAGTATTACATTATTTCCCCCTTGGGATCAATCGTCCCCGAATGATTGTCTTGACTGTAACAATGACTAACTCTGGACCGTAAACAGGTCTGATGGAAACATGTGAATACTAAACTATCATGAACCTATGTATACTAGACTGAACGAATACATAATTACTGAACTGATGAGATACTGAACTGAATGACAACTGAATTGACTGAATACTGAGCCGATTAAATACTGAAAGACATGTAGATTATAATATAAGGTCTAATGGAAAGGTTAATTACCTTCTACATTTTATGTTTTCTCTTCAAACAGATGGGGATATCTGGACTTCATGTTCTCTTAGGCTTCCCACGTAGCTTTTCAACCTTTCTATTCCTCCAAAGCACTTTCACTAAAGCAATTTCCTTAGTTTTGAACTTGCAGATTTGACGATCAAGAATAGCCTCTGGAATTTCTTCGTAAGCCAGGCTATCTTTAACCCCTATAATCTCCGTAGGAACCACAAGTGACGGGTCTCCAATGAATTTCTTCAACATAGACACATGAAACATTAGGTGTACAATAGTAATTCTTGTGGCAATTCTAAATCATAAGCCACCTGCCCAATCCTTCGCATGATTCTATATGACCCAATATCAGGGACTAAGCTTCCCCTTTTCCCAAGTCTCATAACGCCTCTTATAGGCAAAACTTTTAGAAATACCCAATCATCAACTTGGAACTCTAAGTCCCTACACCGCACGTCCAAATAGGACTTTTGGCGACTCTTAGCCGTCTTCAAATGCTCTTGAATCATGTTGACTTTCTCTATAGCCTGATAGACCAAATCAAGTCCTAACAAATCTGAATCGCCAACTTCGAACCTACCAATTGGTGATCTATACCTTCGCCCATACATAGCTTTGTATGGTGCCATCGTGATACTAGAGTGGTAGCTATTATTATAAGCAAACTCAATGAGGGGTATATGATCATCCCAATAATCTTTAAAATCGATAGCACACACCCTCAACATATCCTCAAAAGTCTGAATGTTGCGCTCTGCCTGGCCATCTGTTTAAGGATAAAGAGCCGTGTCGAGGTTCACCCTTGTGCTCAATCCTTTCTGAAAGGATTTCCAAAAGTTCGATATGAACTGAGTACCACAATCTGAGATGATGGACAAATGATTCCCATGCAATCGGACAATTTCCTGGATATACAACTTGGCAATCCTCTGCTGAATCTGTAGTCTTCACTGGTAAAACGTGAGCTGACTTGGTAAGTCGGTCTACAATCACCCAAATCGAACCATGCTTATGAAGCGAGGGAGGTAAACCTGTTATGAGTTTAATGTTTATCATCTCTATTTCCAAACGGGAATTTCTATACTCTGAGCCAAACCACTAGGCCTCTGGTGTTCGGCTTTCACATGTTGATAATTTGGACACTTAGCCATAGAATCTGCTACGTTCTTTTTTATGTCGTTCCACCAATAAATCTCCTTAAGATCATGATACATCTTTGTGGAACCTGGGTGAATAGAATACCTGAAATTGTGGGTTCTGACATAATCCGCTCCCTGAGCCCATCTATGACTGGAACGCATAGTTTGACTCTATACCTCAAAGTACCTTCATCTCCCCCTTGTTCAAAAGCCATAGTCTTGTGTTTGTGAATCCTCTCCTTCAGCTGCAATAAGTAGGGATCACTGAATTGATTTTTCTTCACTTTGGCTACTAAGGAGGATTCAACCCTATTTTGAAGAACAACGTCACCACTTTTGGAGTCCAAAAACAGAACTCTTAGACTTGCTAAGCGGTGGACTTCCTTTGTCATAGTTCACTTGTCTACTTCAGCATGAGCTAAGCTTCCCATAGAATGCCGGTTGAGAGCATCAGCTACAACATTTGCTTTCTTGGGATGGTAGAGGATATCGACATCATAATCCTTGAGCAATTTGAGCCATCTTCTCTGACGAAGATTCAATTCTCTTTGCCTAAAGATGTACTGTAGACTTTTGTGATATGTGAAAATATCAACATGCACCCCATACAAATAATGGCACCAGATCTTTAGCACAAATACCACGGCTGCTAACTTAGGATCGTGAGTCGAACAATTCTTCTCGTAATCCTTGAGTTGTCTCGATGCTTATGCTATGACTTTACCGTGCTGCATTAACACGCACTCAAGACCAACCCCTGAAGCATCACAATAAACAACGAACCCTTTGGTTCCTTCCGATAGTGTCAAGACTAGAGCTGAAGTCAACCTCATCTTCAACTCCTCAAAACTCTTCTTGCAAGCATCCAACAACTGAAACTTGACTTTCTTTTAAGTTAGTCTAGACAAAGGGGACGAGATAGAGGAAAATACCTCTACGAAACACCTGTAATAGCCTGCTAGACCCAAGAAACTTCTTATATCGAGTACTGAGGTGGGTCTAGGCCAATTCTTCACTGCCTCTATTTTCTGAAAATCCACCTTCACGCCTTCGCCTGAGATGACATTGCCCAAAAATGCTACTGATTTCAACCAAAATTCACACTTAGATAATTTTGCATATAGCTTGTGATCCTGTAGTGTCTACAAGAATAAATCAAGATGTCATCAATAAACACAATAATGAACAAATCAAGATAAGGCTTGAAGACCCTATTCATAAGGTCCCTGAAAGCCGTTAGTGCATTTGTTAAACCAAATGACATTACCAAAAATTCAAAATGCCCATAACGAGTCCTGAAAGCTGTTTTAGGAATATCAACTTCCTTAACCTTCAACTGATGGTACCCTGATTTGAGGTCAATCTTGGAATAACACTAGGCACCCTAAAGTTGATCAAATAAATCATCTATTTTAGGAAGAGGGTACTTGTTCTTGTTGGTGACTTCATTCAACTAACAATAGTCAATGTATATGCATAAAGACCCATCCTTCTTTCGTATAAACAAGACAGGTGCACCCCAAGGTGAGACATTTGGCTGTATAAATCCCTTATATAGATCTTTCAACTGGACTTTTAGCTCTTTCAACTCTACTAGAGCCCTTCTATAAGGCAGAATAGATATCGAATTAGTGGTGGGAAATAGATCAATTCCAAATTCAATCTCTCTATCGGGAGGAACTCCGAGAGAATCTTTAGGAAACACTTTTGGGAATTCATTTATAATTAGTACCGATTGGAGATTGGGAATATGAGCATCTGCATCCCTAACTCGAATCAGGTGATATATATATCCTTTAGAAATCATCTTTCTCACTTTAAGGTAGGAAATAAACCTACCCCTAGGTGCTACTGCATCACCCTTCCATTCTAAGACTGGTTCACCGGGAAATTTGAAACTAACTATTTTGGTTCTATAACCCACTGTGGCATAATAGGACTCTAACCATGCCTATGATTACATCGAAGTCTACCATCTCCAATTCTATTAAGCCTGCTATGGTAAGACGATGATACACTTTGACTGGACATCCCTTATAAATACGTCTAGCTATAACCGATTCTCCAACTAGAGCGGATACTTCAAAGGGTTCACACAACTTTTCTGGTTCTATCCTGAATTTCTTAGCAATATATAGGGTTACATAAGATTAGGGTGGATCCCACATCCATAAGAGCATAAACATCAAAGGTGAAGACTGTTAGCATACCTCTTACAATATCTCCACGAGCCTCTGTATCCTGACGACCTACTAGCATATACAAGCGTTTTCGCCCCCCCCGGTCGTATTACTGGACTTTACTACACCACGCCCTTATTGGGCCTGGGAGTTCTGAGAAGCTGTTGAATTAGTGGACTGAAATATATTGCCTCCATTATTCTCCTTGATGATGGACAATCCCTCAGGAATTGGCCCTGCTGACTGCACCCAAAGCAACTATTTGTGTCCGAACGACATACCCCTGGGTGCTTCTTACCACACGTGTTGCAAGCAGGGTACTCAAGGACTCTGTAGCCCACACTAGCCTGTGATTGTGAGCTTGCTGCTCTGAAATTCTAGTTTTTCTTGTTAAACTTGGACCTCTGAGCCGGTGCACTAGCTGAAGATGGAGTTGGTCCTGATTTTGGTTTCTAGAAGAACTGGCGATTACTACCTCTTTGAAATCCCCCACGGCTGAAATTCCCTACAAACTTAGCTCTTTTGTTGAATTCCCTTCCCCATTCTCTCTGTAGCCTCTCTTCTTCCTTCAACTTGTATTCATTCCCTTGAACTGTTATGCCCCGCAGTGTTACGTCGATGTTATGCTCTGCAGTAATATATTACGATGATGTTACCCTCTACAGTAGTATATTATGATGATATTGCATCCTGCAGTATTACACTACGGTGATGTTACACTTCGCAGTATTACGTTACGATATTGTTGCACATAACAATATTACATTACGGTGATGTTATGCTTTGCAGTATTAAGTTATGACGATGTTGCACCCTATAGTATTGTACGTTGAATTTGTTGTAAGGTAATTGACATCAGTCCAAGTAAAAGATTATTTGGAGATTATAAGGATTATACTATTTCACAAGTGATGAATAAATTCGTAAAGGTGAAAGGGGAAGCAAGTCAAACAAAATGAATTTTCGTCCAAGTTTGGCATATTGGGGTAAAATACGGCCCGAGCTAAAATACCCGGTATTTATGAACTAGTGACATGCAAGGTACTACATGCCCATGTTAGAAAGGTGTATAAGGTATGTGATAATTTTTAAATTATGCGGGTAATTGGTTAATTATTGGGTAACGGGATATTACCCGGTTAACTAATAAGTGAATAAAAAATCAATTAAATAACCCACCCCTACTCCCCATGTAGCAGTATGCCACATCCAAGCATATGACTCATAGTCATATATGCTTGTAACATGTAAAGTTAATTTTATGACTCATAAAAATGAGACTTTAAAGGCTTGTTTTAAAATACTAACGTGTAAAGACTGGAATTTAAAAAGAGTCACTTTGGAATGAGTCACTTTTCCGATTCTTGAAAATGAATCAAAGGAATTCAAAATAAAATGTTTCCTTCCAAAACTTGAAAGAATCAGAAACATTTTCCCTTGATTAAAAATCAAACAAACACTTGCATTCCTTGGTTTTTAAAACCAAAAACGTGAAAGAGCAGAGCCATTTTTCGTTCAATTTCAAGCCTTCAACAATTCAATCCTTAAGCCAACATTTTGTTCAAAACGTTAAAAGTAGATTAATTCATCCGAAATTTCAAGTTTGTCCAAATGTGAATTTCGTCCATATTTCGCAGAAGCAGGTTCGTTCAAATAATTTCGGGAACATGTATGTTAAGGCTAAGCTTTTCCTTCATTTTAGCATGACACCATAATTACACAAGTTTGATAACGATACATAAAGAAAAATTCGTATCCCGGAATTTACGTATATTTTGCTAGTCTCGCAAATTACATATATTTTCCTAGTTTTGTAAGATACCATATTTTCCTTATCGAGACTGCATATTCAGTTGAGTATTTCCTTCTTCCGGTCAAAAGAGCAGAGAGTTTACATATATACAGTATTAAAAGTATTTTCATTACGATTGAGCTATAATCGATGGGCAGGCCTCTATTGGGCAACCTTTGATCAGATGGTAAATTATATACCAAGCCTACTATGGCCAAGCGCTTATGAGCGAGCCCAGTTGGTCGAGATACAAAGCCTAGTATGGCCGAGCGCATATGAGCGAGGCTACTACGGTAGATCAGTTATATATATAAGGAGCCTACTGTAGCCGAGCGCTTATGAGCGAGTTCAGTTGGTCGAGATACAGATCCTAGTATGGACGAGCACTTATGAACGAGCCTACTATGGTAGAGAAGATATAAATGTATACCGAGCCTTATAGGGCCGGACAACTATTTTACTCACTATATTAAGAGAGTTGAATTAGTATCAACAGATAATCATATCTTCAGATTTTC